TGTAGCCCACTGGGCTAGATTGCCTTTATTATATTCACTGCTTTGCGTTATATTCTGCTTTGCGTTATATTCAGCAGTAATGCAAGAAACCTACAGGCCTGTATCCTGTAAGAGATTAGCTTCAGCAAGTTAGCATAAGGCTTTAGGCCTATGAGCTTTGAACAGATAAACTTTGCACAGATAAACGGCCCAATGGCAACCCCAACTATTGGGGAGCTGAACATAGAGTGTTTAAGAGGAATTTCTGACCACAGGAACAGGACCCAACTACAAGAATGTCATGGCAACAAACTGATGTACTTAACAGGTACAAGAGCTACATCTGTAGATACCTAACCACAAGAGGCCCATGGTAATGGATTGACATATATGATAATAAGTTAAGATCTTTGATATACTAACCTATACAAGAAGGACACACCAAAATTAGTAAGGTGAGGATATACAAATAAGGAAAAAGGGAAATACCCCTACTGAATATGCATCAAACATAGCGGTGTCAGCACATCATATTATAAAAGTTGCATCCCAGCCTAGGGGCCGTAGGAGAAAGAGATGTAGTCCTTGGGAGGTGCCAGAATGATGGCCACTGGTGATGAGGAAGATGATGGCTAACATTTCAGATTGTTTCACAACGGATTGTGGGAGTATATGGATGTGCAGATGTACATTCTGTAGTATCTCTATCTTACTGAGTTGGGGTGTTTGTGACTGTGCTAAATGTATTAATAAACTATTTTTAAATACAGAAGAGTTCCTATAGTGTGAGTGTTCCAACTGTGCACATTAGGGTTCCCAACTATATAATAATTTGAATAATACTGGGCCTGATCACGGGACAAGATCCTGTCAACCCACAAAGTGATAACTGGGGAGTCTTAAGAAATCAATGTAATTAATACATAAGCTACAGTTCAGGCTACAACCCATAGCAACCCAAATGCTAGGGTGCGAACCCTACCATAGAAACCCTAACCCTAGCTCCAAGTACCCTATCCATAGCCACCCAAACCCTAGCTCAAAGTGCCCAATCCCTAGAGATGCTACCTTTAGGGCAGAGAGCCTGACCCACAGAAACCCTAACCCTAGGGTGGGGAGCCCTACCCATAGCCACTTAAACCCTAGCTCTAAGTACCTTACCCCATGAATCCTAACTCTAGGGCTGGGAGCTCCACCCATAGAATCCGTAACCCCAGCTGCAAGTACCATACCCATAGGAACCCTAACTCTAGCCCAGGGCATCCTAGTCTCAGAAACCCTGGCCCGGGGAGCCCTCCCCTTCCGAACCCTAACCCTGGCCCAGGGAGCCCTACCCTCTGGAAGCCTAACCCTAGCACGTGGAGCCATAACCTTTGGAACCTTAACTCTAGCCTGGGGAGCCCTACCCTTTGAAACCATACACTTAGCGCCTGGAGTGTTATGTTTTGGAACCAAAACCCTAGGCCCAAGAGCCCCACGATCTGGAACCCTGTCCCTATCCCTAACCATAACCCCGTAAGCCATACCTTGGGAACCCTAACTCTAGCCCAAGGAGTCCTACCATCTAGTTTAGATATGCCCACTAGTGGCAGCATGTGGCACTTACACTATCTAACACCTTTAACCATCAAAGCACTTTATACACACTAGCCAGAGTTGTCAACATTCGAAAATGGTTTCAATGGACATTTTCTAACTAAGCTGAGATCTAGCTGATGAGATCCCAAGCTCTGGAGGGTTGTGTGCATATTCTGCTGAGTGTGAGGTGATTTTTTCTTTTTGAGGAAGAGGCAGAGAAAAGTGCCTGAAATTCAGCAAAATCGGCTTCGAACTATCTAGTGCCTGGGCCCAGCACGTGCATGACTGGAAAAAGTGTCACTTGACTATGTCAAATCGTTCCTCTCCCCAACCTTACAGTTCTCTCTTCCTCCTACTCTCCCTCCTCATCTCCATTCACTGCTTCTTCTCATGCTGGAGGAGTATCCTACTGTGTAAGTACAAGGTAAAACACCTTGTTCAGGATCTCCCCCAAGCAGGGCCTGGACTGGCCTCTATTTTGCCTGCGTTGAGTGTAGATGTGCTCAGCAGGAGCTTAGGAGGTGACGCCTGTACTTAGAGAGGCCTAAATGGTCACACCAGGTACAGGCATCATCTCCCCTTCCCCCAAGCTCCTGCTGAGCACAGCTGAGAGGCACCCAGGTCTTCAGGACCATGTGGTGATTCTCAGAGCTCATCACACCTCCTCAGCTGCTAGAACGATTCTTCACCAAGCCACTTGCCTTACACCAGGGGTAGCCAACCTGAGCCTGAGAAGAAGCCAGAATTTACCAAAGTACATTGCCAAAGAGCCACAGCAATACGTCAGCAGCTCCCCCACTCCGCTCCCAGCACCTCTCACCCACCAGCAGCCTAGCCGATCAGCGCCTCCCCACACCTGCTAATCAGCTGTTTTGTGGCATGCAGGAGGCTCTGGGGGGGGAGGGGGAGGATCGAGGGCATGGCAGGCTCAGGGGAGGGGGTGGGAAGGGGTGGAGTGGGGGTAGGGCTTGTGGCAGAGCCAGCGGGTTGAGCAGTGAGCACCCCCCGGCACATTGGAAAGTTGGCGCCTGTAGCTCCAGCCCCAGAGTCGATACCTATACAAGGAGTCGCATATTAACTTCTGAAGAGTCGCATGTGGCTCCGGAGCCACAGGTTGGCCACCCCTGTCCTACACCCTGTGGCCATCTCTGGGAATTGCAGCAGCTCACAGGCCTGGAACCCTGGAAGAAACTGAAGTTACCTGGGACTTAATTGCAAATAGGAGCAACAAAAATTATTAAAAGTCTAGAAAACATGATCCATGAGGGAAGATTGAAAGAATTGGGTTTGTTTAGTCTGGAAAAGAGAAGGCTGAGAGGGGAACATGATAACACTTTCCAAGTACATAAAAGGTTGTTACAAGGAGGAGGGAGGTAAATTGTTCTTGTTAACCTCTAAAGATAGGACAAGAAACAATGGGCTTAAATTGCAGCAAGGGCAGTTTAGGTTGCACATTAGGAAAAACTTTCTGTCAGGGAAGTTAAGCACTGGACTAAATTGTCTAGGGAGGTTGTGGAATCTCTGTCATTGTCTAACCTGCTCTTAAAAATCTCCAAACACCTGTCAGGACTCGATAATACTTAGTCCTGCCGTGAGTCCAGGGGATTGGACTAGATGACCTCGAGGTCCTTTCCAGTCCTATGATTCTATGAAATAGAGAAGCAGCAGGGGCATAGCCGCCGTTTTTTATTGGGGGAGGAAGCTAGAGTTAAAAAAAAAAATTACTATTGCTTTAATGAGTAGTTTTGTACCATAGCTAAATTTGTCCACTTTTAATAGAGACAGACGAGCTTCTGTTCCAAACCCTGTGTTTCCTTTATTTATTACTGCAATCCCTAACATTTTGGAAGGGCTAAAGACCCTACAAGCTCCCAGGTCGTATATCCATGGGCAGTAACCTGGAGGTAGAAGGTCTAAAGCAGAGTGCAAACTCAGAGATGAATGACGGAGCAACCAGCATGACAGAGGATATCCTGAAACAGAGAAACACCTGCTTCCACAGTATCCAAAAGAAGAGGGAGTGTGAGAAGAACTCCTTCAACTATCAGCAACAATAGAGCACTCATCACTAAAGAGTAATGAGGAAAAAAACTGTCCTTGAACCCTAGGCGAAAGAGGGGAGAAAGTACAGACAACATCATGCGACAGAGAACCCTCTCAACTCCTCAGGTATGGGCAGTAATGACTAATGGATATAGGGGATCAGACCTCAAACACATCAGGAAGCCCTGTCCCAGGCAGATGGCTCCCAGCTCTGACATCCCAGAGGTGCTGGCTCCTTTTAACACTTTGGCAACACTCATCATGCTGATAAAGCTTTATTGAGTGGGATGGTGTCAGTCTTGCCTCTCCACTTTCAGATGTCACTGGTCTTCAGTGAGAAAGGGACAGCGAAAGCCGCTGCAGGAGGATGAGGGAGGGAGCACGATGGCTGACCTAAGCAGTGTGCATCTTCTCTGAAAATACTGTCACTGTGGCCCAACTAACTGCCTTGGAAAGAGGAATCACTATCTTCCTGGATTTAATCATTCCTCTGCTCATGGCTCATCTTGCACACCTTGCCTTTGTAATACAGCCAGACTAAAACTGAACCATCCCTTCAACCACCTGTAACCACAGTTGCCAACTTCCACATGGTAAATAAGCACCCTGCCTTTCACAATAAGCCAAACATCAAGCTAATCCCATTTCAAAACAAGGCAATCCCCAAGAACCCCAACACTCTATGTGACTAGCAGGGGCAGCAGGTTTGTATAATTTTTGGTGGTCCCCAGAACGGGGTCAAGTCATGCCCCCCCCCACATGTCCCTAAGGGACTGGGAGGAAGTTTGGTGTGGGAGGGGGGGGCATTTGGGTGCAGGCTCTAGGCTGGGGCAGGGAGCTGGGGTGAGCTCTGGGCTGAGGGTTGGGGTGCAGGCTGGGGCAGGGGGTGGGCTCTGGGAGGGAGTTGGGGTGTGGGATCTGGGCTGGGGCAGGCAGTTGGGATGCAGGGGGCAGGCTCTGGGAGGGAGTTGGGGTGTGGGATCTGGGCTGGGGCAGGCAGTTGGGATGCAGGGGGCAGGCTCTGGGAGGGAGTTTGGGTGCAGGGTCTGGGCTGGGGCACAGGAGGAGGTGCAGGGGTGGGCTCTGGGAGGGAGTTGGGGTGTGGGATCTGGGCTGGGGCAGGCAGCTGGGGTGCAGAGGACAGGCTCTGGGAGGGAGTTGGGGTGCAGGGTCTGGGGAAGGGGGTGGGGGTGCAGGAGGGGGTGCAGGGGCAGGGCTGGAGGGCAAGGGGTGAAGGCTCTGTCTGACAGGCTCTGGGGTGGGGTAGGGCAGAGCCAGGGATGAGGCGCTTAGGGCGCAGACAGGCTGCCCCAGGGATAGGGCCAGAGAGGAGGACTCCCCGCAACCCCCTCCCCATCGGCAAGCTCTGGAGGAGGGACCCCACCTCTTCCCACACTCACCCTGCACCCACCGCTGTCACTGCACTTGCTCCTTGGGCCCCTCTCCGGTCCAGGAAGCCCCCTTGCCTCCCCTGTGGTGGGTGCCAGGGGGGCTGCCATCATGTGTGGCCTCCTTACCTCACCGTAGCCTCATTGGGAGTGGGGGATGGGGCTGCCCCTTGCCCAGCGGCAGCTGGGGGCGTGGAGCACAGGGTCAGAGACTGGCCGAAGCCCAGCAGCTGTGCAGGCGAGTGAGGCCGAGCCCCGCCCAGCCGGAAGTGCCTTTCGCAAGGGGAGGGCTGCGGCTGCTCCTGCCTTCGGCAGCAGGCGCTGCAGCGCAGACAGGGCGGAGGAGCAGGGCAGCCGCCCTCTGACTCAGACGGAGACGCTCCCGGGCGTGGGGGAGGCGCGCGGGGAGCGGCAGTGGGGCCCGGCTGATGCTGCAGGCAGGACCTGGGGTGAGGGGAGACCCGGATCCAAACATTGGTGGAGCTGGGCCCCCGGCCCTGAATATTCCTGGAGCCTGGGCCCACATAACTCCCTGCCGCCGGTGACTCGATCCCCCGGGCATGCAGTCTGGGACTGTGGTGGGCCCGCTGTGCGCCCCGGACTCTCTCCCCCTCTTGCCCCTGCTTGTCGGAACCGATCAAAAAAAGAAGCTACAAGCCACCTAAGCCAAAAATAAGCCCAGTTTCTGTATTCCCCCCTCCCCCGCAGGGTTGACATGTCTGCCCGTAGCCCTTCTCTCCTTTTGTTTCTGTTAGTAAGGCACCCAGACCAGTCACTCACCTCCCTTCTTCCTCAGACACCTGCGGTCCCACACAGCAGTGTTTGCCTAGTTGTTTGTTCAGAGTTCTAGCTGCACAGCTCAGCAAAGAGAAGGGAGAACAGAGTTTGGACTGCAAGGGATGGAGAAGAAAAAAGCAGAGAGGAGGAGAGAAAAAACAGTGCAAACAGAGTAATGGAGGAGAGAGAGGCGCCGAGGGCTCAGCTAGGTATTTTAGTTTCATTTCTCCTGCAGTCTTCGGAAGGAAGTCAAAGACTTCCTTATGGTCTTTTCCTTTATGACACATCATAGATAATTCTAACGAATGGATATGTTTGCAGTGTAAAACTTTCATCAGGGTTCCTAGCTGTTGGTACATGTATAGCCTATCAGTACAAGAGACAGCACCAATTGCCTACCAAAGACAAATCCATCCACAAAACTGTGGGTGTCTTGGCAAGTGGCAAGGTCCTCTAGGAAATGCTTGCCTCTTATCCAGTGTGTGTCCTGTGTATTTTCAGAGGTGAATTTAATACAATATAGTTTTCAGATATAAGTTGTCAGCTCCCAAAGCGAGAATGCTCAGTCACTACTCTGCTCACTGACTCATGCAAAACAGACTCAGGAAAATAACCCCCCAAAAGTGTGTAATCTGTAAACACTAAGTAATTATAAACAGAAGTATTGGAGCTATTATTAAAAATGGAAAAAAATCAGAGCAGATTTTCTACCTGGTTCTGCTCCCTTTTCATACATCAGGAGCATACGTGGAGAAGAGACTGGCCACAAACCCCTCGCTGTCCTCAGTGAGCATAGAGCTGGCTACACTCCCCTTCTCACAGCCCCCAATGCAGGGGATATGGACTAAGCACAATATGCTCCAGCAACTTCCAACTGGTGTTTGGTCTCACTGAATAATGAGGTTGCCATCTGCTGGTAAGGCATCCTTTAGGAACCATTGGCAGCTCACACATTAGAGTAGCCCACAGGCTGCTCTGTTTTACACCCTGGGCTCACTGGAGAATCAGGGCATCATAGCTAGCACACGGATCATCCCCTCCCTACTACATCCAGTGGGAGCTGGTCATGGCAGAGCTCTGGCACCTTACGTTTCCATACAGTCAGGTTCTTTCTATAGTTAATCTCTACTCTTTGGTTTTTAGAAGCTGCTGAAATGTTGTCATTAAAAATGTGAACAGACATTTGTTTTTTTTCTAGCTGTTGGTAAACCAGCATTCAGTCACTTACACATAAAGGGCCTGTGTATGCTATTAACTGTAAGGACCTGGGACTAGAACTCAGATCTTCAGAGCCTGGGGTAGCTGATAGTCCCACAGTGGCACCAGGAGGCTATGCTAAGCTCCACCCAGGGAGCACTGTGGAGAGAATGCATCACAGGATGTACCACCCACAAGACAAGGAGTGACAGAACCTGCAGCCCTCTGATTGGCCAAGTGCCCCTTCTTAACCCCAGGAATTGTTCAGGCAACCATACGGACCTTGGTCTGCTACAGTGCCAGACTTTGCCTTGTCTCCTGATCACCAGCCTTTGACTCCAGCCTGACTTCAGCCCTGATTCCTGCCACTAAATTCTAGCCCAGTGCTGCTCTGATCTCCAGTCTCTAACTCCAGCCTGACTGACCCTGACTCTTGTTTATAGGATCTGGCTTTGTGATGCCTGGGTCAGGCACTAGTGACCGACAGCAATTGAAGTACAAAGTCAAGGACAAACCAGGATTGGAACCCAGAGTCTAGCACAAGCAGGGCCTGGAACAGAGACAGACAGGCACTCTGTGTTGTTGTTCAGACAGCTCCCCTTCATGGCTTCCTGGTTTAAGTACTGGTATGGGCAAATCAGGGGGCTGTGAGGGGCTGCCACTCAGGTCTTGCTGGTAGTATGTTCTGCCAGCACCAGCCTCACAGGGTCCTCCTGTAGAAGCTTAGCCTAATCCTCCTGGAGTGATGTGGAGGTGTTAGTAGCCCAAAACCCCCATGGTGCTATGTTCCCGCCCTGCAGGACCTTAACATGATGTCATCTTTCACCATTTTTCATGTTTAGTAGAGTATTATTAATCCATGACAAAATGATGCGAAAACTATAACAGTATAATTTACATTTGATACCAGTTACCTCAAGATTAACAAAACAAGGCACTGACATGTTGATATATTAAGGCAACTGTATTAAGATAATATGTTCTGAATTTTGTTTTAACCTTTAAGACAATAAAATACTCACCCAGAAGAGAGCAGGCAGAGAATTTAGTTCATAATCCAACACCACATCCCCATCACAGAAAATGTTTCTATTTACACATCAGTCACTAGTCATTTGTTAGCATACACACTTCTGTATCTTCTTCAAGTGATAGAGAAACTGTAATCCTAAGGTGTTTCTCAGGATCATATTAATTAGGGCTGTCGATTAATTGCAGTTAACTCATGTGATTAACTCAAAAAAAATTAACCAATTTATTTGAGCATGAGCTTTCATGAGCTACAGCTCACTTCATCGGATGCATACCGAGGAAACTGCAGCAGACTTTATATATACACAGAGAATATGAAACAATACCTCCTCCCACCCCACTGTCCTGCTGGTAATAGCTTATCTAAAGTGATCATCAGAATGGCCCAACCTGATGATCACTTTAGATAAGCTATTACCAGCAGGACAGTGGGGTGGGAGGAGGTATTGTTTCATATTCTCAAAGTCTGCTGCAGTTTCCACGGTATGCATCCGATGAAGTGAGCTGTAGCTCACGAAAGCTCATGCTCAAATAAATTGGTTAGTCTCTAAGGTGCCACAAGTACTCCTTTTCTTTTTGCGAATACAGACTAACACGGCTGTTACTCTGAAACCTGTCAAAAAAAATTAATCGTGATTAAAAAATTAATAGCGATTAATCACAGTTTTAATCACACTGTTAAACCATAGAATACCAACTGAAATTTATTTAATATTTTGAATGTTTTTCTACATTTTCAAATATATTGATTTTAGTGACAACAGAATACAAAGTGTGCAGTGCTCACTTTATTTTTATTTTTGATTACAAATATTTGCACTGTAAAAAAACAAAGGAAATAATATTTTTCAATTCACCTAATACAAGTACTGTAGTGCAATCTCTTTATCATGGAAGTTGAACTTACAAATGTAGAATTATGTACAAATAAACCTGCATTCAGAAATAAAACAATGTAAAATTTTAGAGCGTGCACATCCACACAGTCTTACTTCTTGGTGAGCCAATGGCTAAGAGAAACAAGTTTGTTTACATTTACAGGAGACAATCCTGCTCTCTTCTTATTTATAATGTCACCAGAAAGTGAGAACAGGCATTTGCATAGCACTTTTAGAGACTAACAAATTTATTAGAGCATAAGCTTTCATGGGTTACAGCCCACTTCATCGGATGCTTAGAATGGAACACACATATATATATATATATATATTATATACACATACAGATAAGTTGGAAGTTACCATACAAAATGTGAGAGGCTAATTAGTTAAGATGAGCTATTATTAGCAGGAGAAAAAAACTTTTGTAGTGATAATCAAGATGGCCCATTTAGACAGTTGACAAGAAGGTGTGAGGATACTTAACTTAAGGAAATAGATTCAATATGTGTAATGACCCAGCCACTCCCAGTCTCTATTCAAATCCAAGTTAATGGTATCTAGTTTGCATATTAATTCAAGCTCAGCAGTTTCTCGTTGGAGTCTGTTTCTGAAGATTTTCAGTTGCAAAATTGCCACCCTTAAATCTTTTACGGAGTGGCCAGAGAGGTTGAAGTGTTCTCCTACCAGTTTTTGAATGTTATGATTCCTGACGTCAGATTTGTGTCCATTTATTCTTTTGCATAGAGACTGTCCGGTTTGGCCAATGTGCATGGCAGAGGGGCATTGCTGGCACATGATGGCATATATCACATTGGTAGATGTGCAGGTGAACGAGCCCCTGATGGCGTGGCTAATGTGATTAGGTCCTATGATGGTGTCACTTGAATAAATATGTGGACAGAGTCGGCATCGGCCTTTGTTGCAAGGATAGGTTTCCTGGGTTAGTGTTTGTGTTGTGTGGTGTGTGGTTGCTGGTGAGTATTTGCTTCAGGTTGGGGGACTGTCTGTAAGCAAGGACTGGTCTGTCTCCCAAGATCTGTGAGAGTGAGGGATCATTTCTCAGGATAGGTTGTAAATCTTTGATGATGTGCTGGCGAGGTTTTAGTTGGGGGCTGAAGGTGACAGCTAGTGGAAAAATTGCTCACAGCATTAGGTTTTTGACATAAATTGTAAAAAGAGGCTCAAACTAAGTGATCGATAATAAGGTCAACTTAAACAGTAGGTGTAGCTAAATTTGGATTTTGGTTCCCTGCAAATTACCATAGTCTGTTTTTTTTGCCCACACAATCCCACCCACAACAAAGTACATTTTACTCACTCCCACGTTATGGCAGCAGGCTCTGCAAGACCCGTGGGATCCCATTCTCACTGCAGGGCTCTACCTTGGTCCCTATTTATCCTTCTTGATGCTGACGCTGATGATGAGGATTCTCTGT